GGGGGATCGGTGGCCTTGCGCCTCTCCCGGGCTTGGAGCAGCGCCGGGAGAGCGGGGGCTGGGATCCCCGACGGCCAGAGCTCCCCCCGGGGCAGCGTGTCCCCGGCCGGGCACAGCTCTGCCCTGGGAGCCCTGCTTCATTGACGCGGATCCCGGGAAACTCCTTGCACCGCGGAGGGAAGGAGCCCGAGGGAAGGAGCAGGACCGGGAGCGCCCTCTCCTCTCCCAGCCGCGGAGAAGCTGCCGTGGGGAAAGGCAAGAAGGGGACCGACGGCTGCGATCGTCGCCGAAGGCAACTCGGAGCAGGAAAAGCACGGGATCGCCAGGTATTTGCGAGGATCTCATCCTCCGGGTGGGAGGCAGCCGATGCTGGGGTTGCGGGTCTCTTGGAAAGCAAATTTTCCCAAGGACATTGGGAGAGAGGGTAACATTGGAGCTGCATGGAGACAGTTTAGACGAGACGCTTGAGGAGAGCAAGAGAAGGGCTTACCATATGGGGAAGAGAAAGTCAATAGGGATTTATTATTGACTCTGTCTCTCCCCAGGCAAGAATCTCCATAGAGGTTTTTAAGACCTGGCTAGACCTTGGCTGGGATGATCTAGTTGGGGCTGGTCCTGCTTTGAGCAGGGGGTTGGACTAGATGCGACCCGCTGAGGTCCCTGCCAACCCTCATTTTCTGGGGTTCTCTCCTTCTAGGAACTAGGGTTCACAGCATGAAACCAGCAGGTGTTAGATTTAACACAAGGCAGCTCTTTCACCCAGGTGTCATGAAAGGGTGAGACTCATGGCCACCAGACCCAGTGGAAGCTGGATTGCAGAGCCGAGGCAGCGTGGCCAGGTTCACAAAGGGACTGGACACACGCCTGCAGGAAAGGGGCATCAGTTGCTCTTGAGCATGGGAATCAGAGCTTCCTGGCCCTTCAATGCCAGGCTGCAAGTGAGAGATGAACAGGCAGAAACAAAAGAAGCAGCCGCTCTCTGCCCCTGTGTGACACAAGAGACTGGGCAAAGATGGTCTGAGCCACTCAGTGGCAATTCTTATGTTTTATGATGCCTTGGTCTAAGAGCTGCAGTAGCGCTGTGCTCTCTCCTCCCTTGGCCCTGTCCTGGCACAATGAATTTGGACAATCATTAAAAATACTACCAGTCTGTACATCCATACAAACAATCAACATTTTCTTTTTCTCTTTCCCCAAAGACTAAAGCAAAATGCCTGAAAAATAAAGGGAAAGTCTCATGAAAGGAACTTTAACAGAAAAAAAAAATTACACCTCTCCCACAACATGCTGAATTGCTATTTTTTCCCCTCCGCTTTATTAATATCAGGTTAACAAAAGCAAGAAGGCACAGGCTTGTTTTAACGAACAGCAGTGGGCATTTTTTTCCTGGGTAAGAGATGCTTTAAACTAATCTTTAGGAGGGAGGGTGAAAGATTATCCTGGCCCGAGTCTGGATCATGCGTGACTCTGGATGTTGCTGTTTTTTAGTCCTTTTTTTTGTATCCCTGGTTTTAGTGAGGGGGAAAAGTGCAAGCTGTTGATGTCAGTGTATTTGGTTCTTGGAAAGCTGATAGGACTCAGGTAGGAGATGAGAGGTTACTGACTAGTTAATACACAGGCTGGGAGCGTACCAGGGAAGTAGTCGCCTGGCTTAATTGGAATAAATGTCTCCTGTTAATGATCCCTGCAGGGAAGGCTTTCTTTGCCGCTGAGAACCCTGTGCAGGCAATTATAAGAAGTGCATGTGGTTGCGGGGAGAAATGTGTTCTGCTTCAAGTGTCCACGGCTCTGATCCAAAGTCCAATGAAGTCAACAAAAAGTCCTTCCACTGACTTCAAAGATCTTCTGCTCAGAGCCTGTATTGGAAATAGAGGCCTGAGACCTATAGGATATTGATCTGAGAAGCCCTGTGAAAAAGGAACCACAGGAGTAGTTAGTAGGTGGATTAGACAGCCAGAGTAAAAGATGGAGGAATTAGTGGATCACAGAACATAATGCATTGTAATAGAATCAAATCATTATTTATTATCTGTATTGTGGTATTAGTGCCAGGCACTATACAAGTATAGAACAAATGGACAGCAATTCTTGCTCCCAACAGTAATATAATATAATATAATATAATATTCAGAATCTTCATAAACATTACAGGATTAATAGAATAGTTACAGATCATTAAAAAGAGTAGCTAACAATATAATAAAACTATAGCATAGAAGATGTAGTACAGACAGATAAAATAAGTGCATGGATTTGGAATATATCATAATAAAATCAATGCTTAAATTATTTAAGGAAATGTTATTTGTTAAAGGCAGAACTAGAATTAAAGCCTGCCAATCTTACACACGTGAATAACCTTTACATAGGAGAGTGGACACACATTAGCTTAGGGTGAGTGAGGATATATAGGCTTGGCATTAGAGAAGTAAAGCACTTTGGCTGAAGTTCAAGGATGTTCTTAATGGCTTTACTGAATTGGGGCCTGGGTCAGAGAGCCTCAGTGAGTGAGAAGAGAAAAAGAGAGACTTTGTGAGGTGTTAGTTACTTGGAATAGCATATCTATCTATCTATCTATCTTCCAGTAATAACTAGCAAATTTAAGAAGGGGTTTTAAAACAATTTTTCCTTGAGAAATGTTTAACTCTCCAAGCAATTTTTCTGTTTATTCTGATATTATCCACTTAACTTTCCAAGCTGGATTCTTTCACAGCAGCTGGAGTTTCAGGGATTTTCCCTAGTCAGGGACTGTCGGCAGCCTGCTGTGCATTATAAATCATTGCTAAATAGGAACTTTAAGACCCCTGGCACACAACAAGTTATTAAGTATTATTAAACGTAGCAGAACTCCCATAAAGCCTTATTGGTTGAAACATACGTTCCAGAGTTTGAAAAGATCCTTAATGTGTTTAAAGCCCCTTAATAATGGGGAGCTAGTCTACTCATACGTGTGCCTTCGGCATTGATAATCTGTATCCCAGAGATAACTGTAATCAGATGGCTCGAATGGAGACTGGCTTCCAGTAGAAATGTGTGTGCACGCAAGGGGTGTATGCCGAAGAGGGGGAGTTTGAACTGGACTGGAACCTCTAAGCTAGAAGACTTTTTTTGATATCCTTCTGGGGAAGGCAGACAGTTTGGCTTTCATTTGAGTCTCGCAATGTGTGGGGTTTTCTGTCTCGTGACAGTCTGCAAAAATGAGCAGGGGCCAGGAGTGCCAGGGTGTTCTTCCTGGATCCGCCACTGACCAGCTGGCCTCAGATGATTTGCTTCCACTTTCTGGGTCTTTGTTTTCATGTGTATATAAGAGAAATAGTGACCCTTCACCTGTCTGTTGGGGAGCATTTAATGAATGGATATTTGTGAAGCGCATAGAAACGATCAGATGAATGGGGCTGCTGTATGGAAATGCAAAGGACTCTTGTTGTCTTCTCTTTTTTTCCCTCTCTCTTGCTGTGCATGTGCTAGTAAAACCTCAGGGATATATTCTGAACTCTACTATCCTCCTTAATTCTGCTCTCTGCAAGAGATTGTCCAAGCTGGAAGCGGAGTGGAATGGAAAGGTCAAAATGGGACCCACTTCCCATCAGAGCTGCTTGGGAATTTTTTGACAAAATGGTTCTTCCCTGGAAAATGCTGGTTTGTCAAAACCAAACTGGTTTCTAGGCATGGGTCATT